GTATTCAGTTCCTTGACGGAGCGTCGGAGTTCTTTTTCGGCTCCTGTGAAGTTGGTCCCGTTATCGGACCAGATCTCCTTTGGACACCCACGAACCGCGATGAATCTGCGAAGGGCCTGTATAAACGCGTCAGTCTCGAGCGAACTGACATCTTCTATGTGGACTGCTCGACTATTGAAGCTGACAAAGATACATCCGTATACTTTCATCATAGTACGGCCACGCTTTACATTAAATGGCCCGAAGAAATCTAGTCCTGTGTAAGCAAAGGGTGGCTGATAAGACACCAGCCTCTCCTTCGGCAGATCCCCCATTCTTTGCTTCATTGGATTTGCGCTCCGTTTTCTGCAGGTCACACATTTGCGTGAGACATTTTTAACTAGAGATCTTGCTCCTAGTATCCAATATTTCTGACGTATTACAGATAGGACATGCTCCCGACCGGCATGGCCGAGAAATCTGTGGTAATCCGCTTGTAGCTSTAGTCTTGGTATTGTCCATTCTTTCAGAGGGGTGTTACGACTTTTCCCCATGACAAAGGCACAGTTTATTTTTCCTTTCGCAGGTACGACACTTCATTGTTATTGTGGGGAACGGAAAATTGGCCCTGTAATAGTTCCCTGTGACACTGAAGTGCTCGCAGTGTTGTCTTCTAGCAATCTTTATTCACCGCTTGAATTGAAAAACATCTGAAGATTCACCGATTACAACTTCTCTTATATATACTCTTTTCAAGGCTATTTTTAGAACGTTACATCATCTTCTAGAAAGTACTAATATGCATATTCGCACGAACGGTCTACATAGAACGTTCTAGAACTCGCTATTACGTGCTAGGTTACAATAAAGAATGATCTAGAACAACCGATAGCTATTAAAGGAACCTTCTAGAATATAAGCTAGTGTAATCAGGAAATATAACAAACAATCCTATAATTAACTCAAAGTTTCTAGTATTTTCCGGCACATTCTTTGAGGGTTTTCCACACTCTCCCCCTATTAAAGTTGCCCTCAACTTTAATATTCGGGTTTCCTAGTCATCTCCATCTTCATTGGCGATCACTCCAACCAATCGATTTATGGCTGCCGTCTTTGCCTTTCGCTCATTTCTCCTGGTTCGGCCCACAGTTTGACTCGGTAAACTTTCATTCGCGTCTCGGCTGTCTAAAGCGTCATTGACTGGATCGTCGTTGTCGCAGGCACCACTGATTTCGAGATCACAAACCAACTGTAGGGGTCTTTCGATGACGTAGCCTTTTCCAGTCCGAATCTTGTATCCCCTCGTCACTCCGTCCTTTCCGAATATAGTACTTGTGATTTTTCCAACCTTCCAGTTAGCTCGGTTCTTTGTTGAGTTCTTGATTAACRCCATTGAATTCTTACGTGGGATTTCTCGATTTTTTCCTTGTCGTCTTGCACATACGTGTTCTGGTAAAGCATGGAGGTATTCGGTTAGCCAGCGCTTTCGGACGTTTTCCCTGCATGTTTTGAGGTACAGCAGCCTCTTAGTTACTTTGTCTCGGTCGTCATCAAAGTTGTCTGCATCATCTTCCAGGAACCGCGCTGGTTGTCCTCTCAGCAAAAGGTTCGGTGTAATTACAGGTTGTTCCAATTCTTCTCCAAGGTAACATAAGGGTCTATTGTTCATGAAGGTTTCCACATCCAGTAAGACTTCTTCAAGTTCTTCAAAGGTCAACAGTGCACGCCCTATTGCTTTTGACAGGCAGTTTTTCATGATACCGATTAACCTCTCGAAAAATCCGCCCCACCATGGCGCACGTGACAAGTTGAAGTTCCATTCGATATCCCTTGTGGCCAAATAGTTTGACAGATCATCGTCTTTCCTTAAGGTTGAAAGCCATCGCTTGGTTGCTTGGAAGGTCTTCGCTTTATCACACACCAGAAGACTTGGTGAACCACGTCGTGCAACAAACTCCTTTAGTGCTCGTTTGAATTCTTCAGCTGTCATATCTTTGCAAAGTCTGAGATATACGGCCATGGTACTTGCGCATGTGAACAGCGCAACGTATGCCTTGCTTGTCTCGTGCTTTCCTGTCTTATGCAAAAGTGGTCCGGCAAAGTCCACCCCTACCACGTCAAAGGGATCTGTGAATTTCGTTCGGTAGGTAGGTAAATCCGAGATGGTTGGCGTGGCCAGTGCTCTAGCTCGATATTTCTTGCAGTAGTTACAAGCATGTCGTACATTCCTAACCAGCGATCTCAATTTTGGGATCCAAAATTTCTCTCTTACCTTGTACATGGTTGCTGCAACTCCCCCATGCAAGGTTTGTAGATGACTGTGCTCRACTATGAGCTTGGCAAGTTTTGATCGTCTTGGGACAAAGACAGGATTATATCCATTAATCCTCGTACGACATCGCATTATTTGGTCTTCATCTCTTACTAGTGTCAGTACAGACGTCATGTCGCTTGTTCTTTGTGTTATTTGAATCCATGTCTTTTCAGCTCCCGTTATCTCCCTCCTGGTAAGTGGTCCAACTCTTCTGTTCTTCTTGCAAGCGTCAATGAAACGTTTCAGGTATGAAGTTATGCGTAGAAGTTTCCAGTACTTGTACTTGTTCATAGCACTTTCGGCCCAATCTTTTGCTGCTTCTCTCACATGGGGTTTTGCCATCAGCCCTGTTTCAAACTTGCTGTTCTTACGCGGTTTCTCCACCTGGACCTCGTCCGTTTCCACAATTTCTGGTTGATTTGGTATGTTGGTGTTGTCTGATAGCCAGGTTGGCCCCCTGAACCATAGCGCATTGAGCTTGYCTGGTGGTGTTCCCCTTGTTCCTAGGTCGCTGGGATTTTCGCTTGTTGGTACGTACCTCCACGATGAATCTGTCAGCTTCAAGATCATTTGTACTCGATTTCGCACGAATGTCGACCACTCGCCCTTGTTTGCAAGCCAGTAGAGAACGGTCACGCTGTCAACCCAATTATGCTTGGCATAGATCGGAAATGAAGCCAAAGCTTTGTTGACGTTGTTCTGAAGCTTTGCCAAGGTAAGCGCTGCCACCAGTTCTAGTCGCGGAATACTCACGTTTTTTGGTGCAATCCTTGATTTGGCAACAAGTAGGTTCTGGTCAAGCGGAACTGAGTTCTGGTAAGTCACGATGTAAATAGCGGCGCAAACCGCTTTTTTACTGGCATCTGCGAAGCCRTGAATCTCGAAGTGTGTTCCATGAAGTGCAAACACACAGCGCGGGATGGTTATGGTCGATGCTCTCTTCAAGGTATTGACCCATGCTCTCCACTTGCGGCTGATATCTTCCGGAACTCGTTCGTCCCAATGTAGCTGGAGAAGACAGACTTCACTGAAAATGATCTTTGCTGTGACGGTGGCTGGTGCGCTCCATCCCAGCACATCGTAAATGCTGTTAATGGCAGCGATAATCTTCCTCTTTGTGAGTGGTTCCACTTCCTTAAGGCATGATTGAAAGCTGATAGTGAATGTATCCTCTTTCTTATTCCAAGGTATGCGAAGGACTTTTGTCTCTTGTATCTGTTTATTTCCTACCACAGTATTAGCGTATGTTTCTTCATCATCTTGGGTGGTCTCGACTGCGTTTAGACGCCCTACGTTACTATGCCACTTGTGGAGATTGAAGCCAGCATTTGAAAGAATCTTGGCGGACTCTTTCRTGAACTTCTCTACGTCATATTCGGTGTCCCCTCCTCCTTGAATATCATCAACGTAGGTATCTCTTAACAGGGCTTGGGCAGTCGTAGGGTAAATCTCCTCGTACTCTCTGATGTGTTTTTGCAACGTCGCTCCCAGGAGGTAAAGGCTTGAAGTAGCTCCAAAGATCACTCGCGTGAATCTGAATTGTTTCACGTTTCTTTCCTCTATGTTATCGTACCACAGGACGCGCTGTGCATCCCTATCTTCCTCCTTGACGTGTATTTGGAGAAACGCCTTCTGGATGTCCCCCGTTAAACAGAACTTGCGCAGTCTGTTTCGTAAGATAATGTCAAACAGCATAGGTTGGAGCGGCGGTCCCGTTTCCAAACAGTCGTTGAGAGATGGGCTGTGTACACTCTCTCTCGCGGAATAGTCATAAACGATTCTCATCTTTGTCRTCTCTGCACTGTCTCGGATTACAGCTTGATGCGGAACGTAATGTACGACCTCCCCCGTTGGGTTCTCTGGAACTGGTTCGATGATCCCATTCTCCATCTGGTCTCGCATAATTTGGTCGTACTCCTGTAGTCTTCCCATTCTTTCCAACTGCCTTGTAGTACTGAGTAGACGGGCGGTGGCCAAGCTTTTATGGGTGGGGAGTGGTAGGTGGTCCTCTTTCCATGGTAGTTTTGTCTCGTAATGCCCACCTTCCGTTCTCTGGAGCTGCTGTAAGATTTCTTCGTGGATCTCAGCATTTTTCTTTGGTCCCGTGTCTTCAATGCCTAGAACATCTTGTGCGCACAGTTTTTCGAACTCTTCCTGGCCTGTCTTTAGGAGAAAGTTCTTTTCTGGATGGCTTGATGTCGGTTGTTTTTGTCCATAAATGGCCCAACCAAGCATGGTGAACTCGGCTCCAGGGTCCTTGTCTGGGTTGAATCCCAACACAACAGGTTTTGTCGTTCGTATTCTTTGGTAATCAGCAGCACCCAGGATGATATGAACCGGCATGATGTCACAGCTTGTTTCTTCCTCACTAAAGTCTAGCCGTCTGAGTTGACTTTGTTGCTTCTTCAAGGTACGTATATTCGGGTTTGGTAAGTTCGTTAGCACGTCCTTCTCAGCATTAAGGCACTCCACGTCCAAAGAGAAACCTTCAACTGCAAGTGACTGTATGTTAATGCCGTAAACCTCGACGTTCTTTTTCACGATGCCATACATCTGCTTGATGCGGCGTTGCTCTTTTCTCAAAGGTTTCAAACAAAGCTTGGTAATTAACTCTGTGCACAAATATGAGCTCCCTGCCCCGGTATCGAACATCACTCGGACCGTTTCGGATCCCACTCGAACCAATATTGTTGGATGCCAGGTACTTGGCTGTCCCATGAATACGCTCATGTTTTTCTCGGGTTTTTGGTTTGGTACCAGTTCTGCGACTGTAGACTTCTCCTCACAAATTGAAGTATGGTGTTTCCCCTGGCAGTTCTTACATCCTCTCGATCTGCATTTTGAAGCCACGTGTCCCACTCCTGTACAATTGAAGCACATTCTGTTCCTTTGCAGTATTGCTCGTCGGGCTTTGGCTCTTCCATTCTTCCTAGGAGGAGCTTTTCTTTTCTCCATGGTTGCGACGGTCTCGACTGTCACCTCTCTTTCCAGAAGCGCTTTTTTCATCCCCGACTGGCAATGGGTTTCTTTCGATGTATTTTCGTAGGTTTTCTATCATTTCTTCTAGCCCCCACTCTTCCCACTCGTCGTCCTTCTGCACCAGTACTTCTCGAACAGGTCCAAATTTGTCCATCAGAGTGTACACCATGCTTTGCGCAGTTGTTAACTTTTTCATTGTGGTTAGTGTGCGCACTATCCTTGCGAGCTTCCTGTAAAAGTCGTGTATGCTGTTAAGCTTGTGTATACTGGTAATCGCTGGCAATTCTTCTAATTCCTTTATCAAGGCTTTGTGCGCTTTGATGTCTTTTCCGTAGGTCTGTTGGAGAATTCGTTTAGCTTCTTTGTATCCATCCTCTGTATGTGGAAATCCTAGGATATCATCCTTCAGTTTCCCTTGCACAAACTCCAACAGGTAGTTGAACTTGCTGATTTCCGAGATCCCTGATCCATCAACTTCCACTGTAAACTGATTCCAAAAACGCATCCAGTCCTTGTAGTCACCGTTGAAGGGCGTGATTGTGTACTTCTGCAATTTCACTGACTGTGGGAGAGATTTCCCTTGTTTCTCTGTCTCCCCATTCCCCATGGCCTCTACTCTGCTCGATGTCTCGCTTGTTCCTCATTAACCTTTTGCTGAATTCGTAGTTCTTTTTCCATCTTGATTTGAGCCTCTTTCTCCTCCATCTCCTCCAGTTGCTTCTTTATCTGGAGTCTTACCTCTTTAARCGGTTGAAGAAGTCCTTTATGTTTTGAAGTCCACTCTTTTATGTAATCCAGGCTTTTGTCTGATTCCATCAGGTGATCAGCTACCCCATCCTTTGACCTTTCAAGCCGTTTGATTAACTCCTCCTTGACGAAATCCTCCTTCTCTGAGCACTTTAACTAGTTCTGTCGCAATGTGCACAGCTTCCTCTGTTGTTGGAGTGGATTTCAGGACATCGTCTACATAAAAGATTCTATGCACGCTCTCAATAACTGGGTCGTATCCCTGTTTGTTGTCTTCAGATGTCATCTTCAGAGCCTTATTAGCACAACATGGTGACGATTTGGCGCCAAAGATGTGTGCCAGCATTTGGTATTCCTGGGGCGGATCATCAGTACTTCCGGGCCACCACAGGAACCTCAACGCATCCGTGTCTTCTGGAGTAACCTCTACTTGATTGAACATGCCCTCGGTGAATGCAGCTTCGTTTTGTCGGAATCTTATTAGCTCCCCGGAGAGATCATTGGTGAGACACGGACCTTGCAGTAGACAGTCGTTCAATGATACTCCAGCGAACTTGGCGGCAGCATCACAGACGATCCTAACCTTATTGGGCTTGTTGGGATTCAAGACCGGATGATGTGGGAGATACCACGTCAAGTTGCTACGTTTAGCGGCTTCCTCATCTGTCAACCTTCTATCGTACCCCTTAGTCAGGTATTCTTTCATCGCAGTTCTGTACTTCGACTCTAGTTCAGGATCACGACGAAAACGTTTCCTTAGATGTTGCAGTCTCGCTTCCGCAAGCTTTCGGTTGTACGGTAGTGAAATGTTCTCATCCTTCCACAATAGACCCATCTGATAATGATCGCCGTTCCTTGTGATTGTACTGTCGATTCACTTCAGCGCCTGCTGGTCCTCCACGGAGAGAAGTCCTGTCTTGAGGTTGTTGGTACCGTATGATTCTACCTTCCAGAATTCTTCTAGTTGGCGACTGAGCTGGAGGTCTTCACCGGCAACAAAGTTCGAGTTTGCGCGTTGCTTAGTCGACTCCTTGGCAGCACCACCGAGGATGCTCCATCCTAAGCTGCATCTTATGGCGATTGGTGCATTTGACTTTCCTCTTCTAACCTCCAATGGTATGAAGACTTCACTAACGTTGGTGCCGATCAAGACAGCTCTTCGCCTATTGATGCTAGCTTGAAGCTCACCTTCTCCGCCTGGTAAGGCACGTCTTTGTCACTTACAGTGTTGAGATAGAGTGTTCCTGGTTTTCCCTTGATGTTGAGCTCTTTGATCAATGAAGGGTCGACTAGCGTGACGTCTGAGCTCGAGTCTATTAAACAGTACGTTGTAATTAAATTAGAGCCTTCGTCAGTTATCTTTAGAGGAAGCACTTGTAGCATGATGTCCTGTGTGCTATCTGCAGCCGTGGAACAAGATTTAGTTATACTTAAGTTTGTCTTCTTGGTCTTAACCTCGTTGTCGTTCTCTGGGTGTTTCTCGTCTCCTCGGACTGCAGTGTTTGTCTGCGGTTCTGTAAAGCGCAATAAGGAGTGATGGGGTTTTCCGCAACCTGACGTCTGGCACCGAGTTGCGCATTTGCATGTCTTGGATGTATGTTCTGTGGAACTTAGACAGTTGAAACAAAGTCTCTTTGTCTTTACAAATTCATTCCTCTCCTTTGGTGACTTCGCTCTAAAGAGCTCGCATCGATAAAGATGATGTGGATTTTCGCACAATGGACACGTTTCTTCTTTCTTTGTTGTTGTAGTGTAGGCTGTCACTCTGTAGTGAGCAGGTGTGGTTTTCTGTCGGTCGACTTTGTGGTGTTTTTGTGGAAACCACTTCACTGGACGCTCTTGAAAGAAATGGATGGTTCATAACTTCTGCTCGATCTCGTAGGAAATCGACCACGTCSTTGAATGTTGGCATTTCTTGTCCACCTTTCTTCTTGTTCGTCGCTTCCACGAACTTGGTCTGGGCCCACGTCGGAAGGCGCGCGATGATTCTCTCTAGGCTGTCCGTATTCATTTCTTCTAGATAGCCCAGGCTGTTCAAGGTATAGTACGTTGCTTGAGCGTCATCCGCCGTTTGCTGTAAGGCTCCTTTGTCGTTCTGAATTGCAGGGCCGTTTGTAAGTGCGTCTACACACGCGCGTACCACTTGGGCGGGGCGCCCAAAACGTTCTTGGAGAGTCCTTAGCGCGCTGGTGAGACCCACTGGTAGGGCCTCATAACGCTGCACAGCTTTTAGGGCTGGACCTTCTAGAAACTGTAATAGCAACGTCATTTTCACCGATTCATCTAGACTACGCGATTCGACCATTTGACTGAAACGTTGGCGGAAAGTCGGAAACTTCTCAGGTGATCCGCACTTGTACCTTGGGTAGATCTTGGGTCATACTTATGTTTGATATTGCCGAGGCAATAGTGGTAAGAAGACTGTCGTTAACACAAGAGTATCCGACTGCGCTGGTCGTGGTCGAGGCCAATTTTCTTCGTGTAGGGTCAGGCTCTGCTGTCTCCACTTTCGTCTCTTCTGTCTCCACTTGTCTTGGACACCTGTTTTCTTGTTGGGGGCAACGGAACTCTCTACTTGATCCATAACACGATAAGGATCTTTCGCTTGAGCATGTAACAATTCACCTTCGTACGTAAGCAGGTCAGGGACCGCGTCGAGTTTCACTTGTTTTGCAGCACTGGCWTTTCTCTCAATGGGCAGCAAGACTGTGGTCTTGGGCGTCAAAGCAGACAGGGGCGTTGACGCGTGGGGTGGAGCCATTGAGGTGCACGTGCCCAGGGGGCTTGTAAATGCAAGTACCGGCGAGGGGTAAATGCCACTTCTGAAGTCTGCAGGACTTTTCCTGAATCCATCTCTTGACTAGAGAATTCTTTAAAACCTTGTTGATGTCTGTAGAGGGGTGGCCTGTCAACCATTTGYATATCATCCGACGTGACGATGTCTGAGAACATAGGAGGGGGTGGTATGACGAGCGAGGCAATCATTTCCTCCAAATCGTCCTCGTGTGACTCTTGTCTTACCTCTTGTCTCGTGTCTTGTCTTCTCATCTCTAGTGACTGTTGGATCTCCATTTCGGTTTGCTTGATTTCTTGCTCGAGTCTTGTAACTTCAACATCAATAGCACCAGTCATAAACATTTATTTTCTCGTTGTATTCTTTCTTTCTCTTTACTTGCGCTTGATATTGCTCCATTATGCTTAAATATTTTCCACAGGARTCGTCGAGTAGATCGAAATATTGTTGACAACATTGTTGATAACGATCAAAGGCGATTCCAACTTTTACCAACTAGCTTTGCCACGCAAAACCTCGTAAAAATGTTCTTGTAGACAGGTAGGTTGTATATATCCTTAAAGGACATTGGCAATATAGAAAAACGCAGTCTTTTTAAGGCTCACACTATGGTGCAACATTAAATATGCTATTATTTCATGAAGAAACCGATATAGTGGGAAATAAAGCGCAAATTAATTTGGCCAAAATTCTTTAGCGTCCGCCATCTTGAATAGTCTGTTGAAATAATTAACTTCAATATGACGTCATTAGCAGGGTAGAATGAAAACAGACCTTGATTTTAGGACTAGTTTTTGGAGAAAGTGAACGTAAAAATTAGTTTCTAGTGTCCTTTTATGTAAGACTATGGAGCCGTAAACTGGGCAATACATTTTGTTTTCATCTTGTACAACCAGATGTTTCAATGCTACCCTGGTAATGACGTCACATGAATAAATTTGCATGTGGAAGATTTTCAAAATGGCGGAATAGGGGCCGACTAAAGGCAAGTAACAATTCGTTTTCTCGCCACCCTTACAATCCAGATAAATAAAACACCACCATAAAGACTATTTGTGCATATACTTTTAATGATAGGTTGCTTGAATTATATTGCTAATGTCCTTTAAATCTTGGTCGCGGATGAGCAGATGGTCAAGATTTGAACAGATTTTGTCCGCTATGGTTAACCAGCCATGCAAGATGGCGAAGCGTAGCGTAGTAAGTGACCAGTCGTGCGCATGCGTAGTTATCTCGTAGAATCTCTATTGTAGATGACTGATTAGAACTACATATCCATCGCTTACATATAAGATGTTTCCCAAACACTCAGAAGACCTATAAGATAAAGGCTTACGCACCATCTTCAAGTTTGACACTACCCTATGCAGACAACTAGTACACCCTAAAGACCCAGTCCCTTCTGGCCGACAAGACGGAGTAGTCTACAAGATCTCGTGCAGGGAGTGTGACAACGTGTACATCGGTGACACGGTACAAGAAAGATTGAAAGAACATGAGAGATACGTCCGTTTACCTCGGACCCAGACCTCTACCGTCTCCGAGCACGCCWATACCACCGGCCACTGCACAGATTGGAACAACGTCGAGTGCATTAACAGAGACAACCACTGGTACACACGCAGAGTCAAAGAAGCCATTCATATTAGACACCATCCCAACAACATCTATAGGGATTGCGGAATTGAGATTCCTGAAGCGTGAATACCGACCATTCGAACGTACTTTCACACGTCAAACCAGCGGACTCGCTTTGTTCGTGATATGATATGGAAACTCGTGAATAACACGATATCAAACTCTTGACATGTGATAATCTCTATGTAATATTTTATTGTACTATTACTTATAGGTTTTAGTTCTAAAAAGAAGATATAACTAGCTAAAAACTAGTGTGAGCTGCGTCGGTGTTTCTAATGAAACAGTAATGATGAAAAGGTAAATTGTACACCGTGAAAAGATGAAAAAACTTACTGACGTTTCGGACGCTAGTCCTTCGTCGGAGTAAGGACTCCGTCGTAAAAGACTCATCTTTTCACGGTGTTAGTCATTACATGTCATTACGGTTTTAGTTCTACTAATGTAGTCGTATTCTCTGCTACTAATAGACCTGATGTATTGGAACCTGCTTCACTGAACAGACAGATGCATTTTTATGCATCGGAGATCAACCGAAGGTAAAGTACATAGCTAAATATGTTTTTGTTCATGGTAATGATAAGCGTGACCATAATGATGATAATGGTAGTGGTGGTGATGATGTCGGCGACAATGATGATGGTGGTTGTGGGCTGATGATCTTGTTGACTACGATGATGGTGATAGTGTTGGTGATGTTGATATTGTACTGTGATGACGATGATGGTTGTGTTGATGATGTTAGTGATAGTAAAATGTGATAGTGTGGTGTTGGTGGTGATAATGAATGATGAAAGTGTTGGTGAGGTTGATATTGTTACAATGATAATGATGGTTGTGGTGATGATGTTAATGGCAGTGAAGACCATAGTGATGATGATAATGATCGTGGTGTTGATGGTGATGATGGTGTTGGTGGTGATAATGAATGATGATGGTGTTGRTGATGAAGATATTGTTATAGCGATAATGATGATGATTGTGATGATTTAATATTAGCATTATTTTTACTGTAACAAACAGGTTTAGAAAAGAAAACTAAAGTTCTTCAACAAGAAGAAAAGAAAACCATAGCTTACCACTAGACAGGACACATCTCGGTTGGGTATCTGTTAAGGCGCTGAAATACGAGACACAAAAAAGTCCAACTTGTCACGCAACAAAATCTATCACGGGGATATTCCGCACGCTGATTGGCTACAAGCTACATAATTCAAGATGGCGGCCGCTTCTGCACATAAAATGTTGCGTGACAAGTTGGAGGGGTGATGACAAACGAGCAACAAATCGCAAATTTGTTGCAGAAAATTGGTCTACGTCCTTAAGTTTCCCCAACTTGCAACAAAAGATTTTGTTGCGTGGCAAGTGGGATAGATAGAGTGTAAAACCAGCAACTTTGTTTTCGAACTTGCACCGCAACAATGTTGCGCGACAAGTTGGACGTTTTTGTGTCTCGTATTTCAGCGCCTTTAGAGTGTGCTGGTACTCTACTCAAGCTACTGCCTGCAGCATTATTGTCATTCTCTTCTTTCTTTTATTTTTTTAATTTCGCAGTTGATCCTTTTCCTTTTTAGGTGCCCATTATTCTTAGAGGGAAAGGATTATATTATGCACAATATTGTCTAAAGAAGCATATTTATCATCCACAGAACAGGTAAACAAAATCCCATCGCTTTTTGTTTTTGTTTTACTTTTTGCGTTGTTGCCATATTTCCCCCCTCTTGTCTTGTCTCTTTTCCCTCATCATTTCTATTCTCTTTTCTCCTTTTCTTTCTACTTTTACTTTACTCTTATTCTATTTTATGTACTACTTATTTCTTCTTCATGTCCTCCTTTCCTTTCCATTATACCCATACTCTGTTTAGCCAGTATTTTGTGTTTAAGCCATCCACTCCTTAACTTATTGTAATCATCCTTTTCCCTAAGTACTATCTAGCCCATACTTGCCATCGTCCACTTGAAACAGAGAAGACCATATCGTGTATGAGTATCGATGCTGCCACTAACAAGGTAAGACACAGCACAGCGATAACGGTGTTCGAAAACCTAATAAATTGAATAGTTCAGGTTAAAAATCGAATGGTGAAAATTTGGAATAGTTCAGGTTAAAATTCCAATAACTAATAAATCCAAAAGTTCAAGTTAAAAATCGTATAAACTAAAAAATCGATAAACTCCGGTTAAAAATCGAATGGTGAAAAATTCAAATAGCTCATGCAAAAAATAGAATTAATAAGAAATCGAATAACTCAGGATAAAATCGAATGGTGAGCATTTCGAATAGTTGAGGTTAAAAATCGAATGGTCAAAATTTCAAATAGCTCAGGTTAAAAATCGAATAACTAATAAATCGAATAACTCAGGTCTCAAATCGAATGGTGAAAATTTCGAATAGTTGAGGTAAAAAATCGAATAACTCAGGTCAAAAATCGAATGGTGAAAATTTCGAACAGTCGAGGTTAAAAATCGAATAACTAAAAAAAATCGAATAACTAATAAATCGAATAG